AAATAAATAAAAATAAGATTCAAGATCATGGGCTGAATAAAAAGCCATTAAAGTTGGCCATGATAGTATAATATAGAACAAAATCTATATAATGAGGATAATGGATGATTTTTTCTTCCCCTTTTTTATATGCTTTTGATTAGGTGATGGACATAGAGTACAATTTTCGCATTATTCTTAGCGTGGACAAAGACACCTTTGAATTAAGCCTTTCAACAATCATTTTGTGATGCCAACTAATTCAGATGGTGCAGTACTGGAGTTTTGGGACTCATCCCCTTCAAGAGTAATTTGGTCACTTTTTCTAGAGACCCTTGCAGGATTGGTAGCCCAAATGAAATTAAAGCAAGTAATATTAGCCAAAATGAAACATTGAAATGACTTGCACTTATTTAATGTGGTAAAGAAGAATCAAATAAATCAAGGAAGTCAACGCAAAGAACAAAATACCATAATAATGGGGTTTCCAAAAATAAAAATACCAATTAACTAGGAAACACAATAATGGGCTCTTAAATTAGATGTGTGCCTTGTATTAGGTGCATACAGCAGAAAATTTTGTATTGTATAAAAGACTAACAATTAAATGTTAATCTGCTTTAGGTGATTTTAATTGATCGTCAAAGAAACAAATTTAAGGGATGAACAATCTAACACGTAACCTTGAAGAAAAAGTCGTATCTTTGACACGGACTCCGCTGTTTCTGATGTGGCCAAGCATTGGAAATTCTGGTATTCCCAAGACTTCAGCTCTCTACAGGAGAAAACATAGTTCAAATGAACTTACTCAAGCTGGTCAGAAACAGGAAAACCTGTACATTGCTAATTCTCACACAAAACAGATAAAAACCAAATAAAAAACTTAGATGGTGATGGAGCACATAGTAAATACAAAAAACGTTCAATAACCTGAATGAGATAGGGCTAATCAAATTTGCAGATGTTATATCCAATTATAATATCAGGATCTACTTCACGAATAAAGTCCTGCAGATAAACCTTGCTTGAGTGAAGCTACAGAAGTTTAAAAATAGGTAAGGGCTATATTTTCTTGCAAAGTCATGACAAGCAGTTTATTTAACACAATTAGAATTCACTGCATGAACTAGAAAGAAAGAGAAACTTAAACAACATTACCCGAATTTCTTCAACCAATAAAATGTATATTACTCCTATTTTCCTCATCGCAACCAACATAGATATGTGCACTCTTTGAAAAATACTTATGATCAAGGGAAGGAAACCAAATAGAGAGTAAGCACAGCAGAGGATAAATGACTAAACCATACAGCTTTCCAGGTACTTCAAAAAATGCCAAGAACCAAATACCAGGCATGTGAACATAGATAACTTTTCCACGTGAGAAGTCTCCTAAACTGCAATAGAATCACGTTAATTTCTGCATTACTTCCTGTTCCCCTATCTTATCCTTCGTCAATAATAGCAATGTTTATTGGTCCATTGACCAGTAAAAAGAAAAATAAATAAATAAAGATGCTAATACTAAAACGATTACGATTTCAGATATACTACAATCTTTAACCAATAAATGCGTTCTTTGAGGATGAACTCTACCTACATAAATTATTTTGTTCATTATGCCATCAGGTACAGGATCATTACTTTGAAGCATTACATAATCATTGCAAATAATAATAATTATACTAATATTAATATTAATTACCCTCCAAGCTAGTAACACTTCTCTTTCGGTATCGAATGACATCACATCAACACCTACTATTGGTGAGCATGAATTAAGGGTCATGACATTCCGAACAAATGGCTGGTCCTGTCCTTGCAAGGTAATTAGATTAGCCACCTAGAACAAAAAATCTTGCTTCAGCAAAACAACCAATACTTTCCAACTGGTTGTATTTAATTCAAATAAAGTAGATTGACAATAGAGAAGTGTAAATTAAACCTGGATAACAGGATCATGTGTAGGCTCAAGAAAATGGCCCTTATGACCAGCACACTCAATGTCAAAGCTCAATATGCGAAACGGAGCCATTTTGGAGAACTCTCCTTCCGGGGCATGGCTTATCAAGTCTGAATAACTAAGAGAAATGTTAAGGAAATCATTTATTCTTATAGTGAAAGACTCAATAACAAGTGAACATATAGTGGAGCCAACTGCATGGACTCCCTGCATAAGGATACAGGCAATCAAACTCTAATTGGCAATAGGATAGATTCTTTGCCGGCTTCCTATATTTTCCAGCAGGAACTTCAATCCAATTACCACCAACAATGTTGCAGTCAATCATGAATCGAAGAGCAAAAAGAACATTGCTTTCATATGTCATAAAGCTCTTCATACCAAGACCATCGATCTGTATGCCTCTATCAAGGATACCTACCATGTTTCAAAAATATAAATGGATAGCAAAAAACAAAGTACAAACTGCTAACATGATCAGATCAGATCTCATGATACCAAACTAAAAAAATGTCATGCATACTTGCACTATGCTACATTCACCCTATCATTGCATACATGCTTATCCTACCATTTCAAACTAACGAGCAGATGCAACAAAGAGTGAGCTGGATTCAGGGCCACCAAACCATAAATCGGTTACATATGCAGGCATAACAGTTGTGAAACCCAGTCCATCTGCCTAATGCCCATACAAGAAGCAACAACTGAAATTAATACACCAAGAAAAAGTATGACAAGAGAATGAGGTTGCCAGCAACAGCTACACATTGAGCTTCGCATGCACAAAGTATGCAGTGAATATGGGTCTTAAGAAGCAAAAACTGTCAAAGAATGTGATTAATTAAATGACTACCTACCTCAAAATAAAATTTTGAAGGGGTAAGAAAGTTCGAATGTTTACCACGGCAGCTGGTAATCATTGTTGGTAATGCAACCACAATTCTAAGAAATGGCTGAGAATCCTGCTGCTGATAGTACATAATGCTTCTTCTCTGCACCATTTCTATGCGGCGAACAATCTTAGGAACCCTATTGTTTCTATTCGCCTCCCTCATCCTCCCCTGAAATAACCACCACATGCAACAAGCATGTAAATTTATGTAACTATTTTCTCAAAAATACTCAATCATGTATGCTCTCAGACGAACCTATAAATAAGTATTTATACACAGAAACACATACATTTCCATAAACATATAGGAAAATATATTATTCTATTGTAATTTGTAAAACAAAATACCTCAAGAATTTGATGAAAATGAGAGATATCATCAGGACCCATTCCTGGAGGACAGCTGATGTAGAAATATGGTTCAAATCCATGAACATGGCAGCACACAATATGTCCTGACCAATGATCATATAAGAACCACTAAATACCCAAAAAAGAACCACTAAATACCCAAAAAAAACGGTGTTTGACAGCTTGAATCCAACTTTTTTATGTTAAGAAAGAAAAATGTGCCTTACTTTATGGCAGAACTAGAATACTCCCATTGTGAGGGCCTTTTCTTCCTGAACCATTGCAGCTGTGTTTGGTTCATAAATTTAGGTAGAGATTTGGAAAGGGAAAGGGAAAGGGAAAGGGAAAAATTGTGAAAGGTGTGTGAAATGAAATTATATTTCATTCACATTTCACCCACCTTTTCTTTTTCCGTTTCCCTTTCCAAATCACTCACTAAATCCGTGAACTAAACACAGCCTGAAAGAGTGACAAATAAGCACAATACTATGTTTTATTGACAATTTCTGAAAAAAAACAAAAGTAACAGGTCAAGTTAAAATAAATGTCCTCAACCTAATTTTAACCATTAAGGATTCTTTACTATATAATTTCCACACACAGGGTGGAAATCATATTTGTAATTGACAAATTGAAGGAACGTAATTAAGGTTTTGATATCCATGCGGATGCCTACTAAATGGTTAGAACTTCTCCACTGGCGTAGTATTTTTTGTATTATTTTAGCACAGCAAAGTGCACTTTATACGAATTTGTTACAAGTTGCTGCACTAGTGTGTAGTATTTAATGTGCTAAGATAGAATAGGAGTTAATGTGCTAAAATAGCATAGGTGCTCCAACAATATAATATTTTTTGTGCCAAAATACCATTTGGGTGGGGGTGGACCCAAAAAATTTAGCATTTCAATTTTTAAAAATATATATGCATAGGGAATGAGTAATATCCTGGGCTAAAGATACCTATAAGAGAATGCCCATACTTTCTATATAAAAGAAAAATAAATAAACAACTTCAAGAACTATTCATGTAATATGACTGGATCAGATTCAGACAGTGCCCAATTTAATACAAAAAAAATAATAATTCTAGAAGTCAAAACCCACAAAAGAAGAGCAATGTTAGCCATTCCAAAAACTCAAAAAAAAAGGGGGGGAAAAGAGCAAACCTTCCCTGGTAACCCCAAAGATCCTGATAATAGCAGCAGGACCAGACGAATTAGGCAACAATTCCTTATGACTCTCTCCGATAACGTAATCAATCTCCAGCTACTGAAACACTACAAACCCAAAAACCACAAATCTTCCACACACACACAAAAAAACAAAAAAAAAAACCTACAAATCAAGACAGCTCTGCAAAGAAAAGAAATTTTAAAATTACCGATGCTCTGGGATTGAGACTGGTAGGGCTGAGACAAAGCAGGGCGTTTCCACTTGAAGAGACGAGAGGAGGGAGCTTGTTGCTCCTCCGTGTCGCGGAGGACTTGGGACTCCTCCTCGTAGAGGGTTTCGTCGAGGAAGACGTCCTCGTCCACATCTTCACCTTTAGGAACCCATAACTTACCTTGAATGAGTTTAATAACATGAAATGTTATGAAATGCGGAGTCCATGAATAACATGAAATGTGGAATCAAACCACTTTTTGCAGTTTGTTCATGATTCTGATTCAAAAGTTTCAGAACTCAGTTTGGAGTACACAGGAGAGAGAAATGTGGAATCAAACCACTTTTTGCAGTTTGTTCATGATTCTGATTCAACGTTTCAGAATTCAGTTTGGTGTACACGGGAAAGAGAGAGAGAGAGAGAGAGAGAGGAAACTGAATCACTGATTATGTTACTGATAAAATAGCCAAAAAAAACAGTAATCTTCTGATGCCCTCACAAGAAAAAAACAGTGAACCACGACAACATTGATCCCACTTGAAGACAGAAATACAAGAATGTAAAGACTAGAAAGCCAAAAGAAATTCAACACAAGCATTTACTCCTCGTAGTATCCAGGATCAGGATCATTATCACCGCCATCATCATCATCAGATCTGGTAGTTGTAGTCGTCGTAGTAGTAGTAAGGTAGGACCGAAGGATGCGCTCGTACTTTTCAGGGCTATCATACAGTGTAGGAGTAGTGATAATTGCACATTCCAACCAATCTTCTCGCATCTCCTTCTTTGTCTGCCTCTGGAAGAACATTCCCCATTCATATAAGAGACGCTTCAGACGAACACTCTTCCGTCCACTAAACACAAACTTAATGACGTCCTGTGCTAGCCGAGTTATGTCCTCACCCTCGATGATGTAAATATACTGAAGCAAAAAAAGACAATGTTAAAAATGTGTACTCACTAAAGAAAAAATGGAGGGGCTTCCAGGTGATTAAGACCCGGAAATTCTGCCATTCATCTTATGTAGATATCTATAATCATCTAATCAAACTTATACGAGAAAATTCATCAATCTTTTCACTCCACATCTATAGCTAGGAGCAACTAATAAAAGGACAGTAGAAAATTTTGACTGGCAAAGAAAGCTGAATGCTTTGCCAACGTAACACTCTGTTTCAACAGTGGCCCTGGTGGGGGTGTGGTGTTGGTGTTGGTGGCGGTGGACCGGTGGTAGGGTGTGGTGGAGATGATGGTGGTTGTGTTAATGTGGTGGCATTGGTAAGAATTTAGTTTTGAAAATGTTTTCCACCTATTTTCTGCTCAAATAAACTTGTTATTCTCAACTATGGAAAACGTTATCCATTGACTTTTGTTTTCTATTGTACCAAATGCTAGAAAATGTGAAAAACATTTCCCCAAAAATATTTTCTGGCCAAACAAACAGAGCTTAACAGTTAAAGGAGAATTTTTTTTGTCAAATGAGAACTTCAGTTTGTCCTAGCGCGGACACTGAACTTGCAAAAGATGCTTTTTTGTAATTATATTGTCGATCGCTTGATTGATCGAGAGAGAGAGAGTTTTCAGTGTAATTACCAGAAACACAAAACCAATAGTTGCTAAGGTCACTTGCAGTACTTCATCCACGATCCCAGCAAAGCCTTCATCCTCTGGCTCACCAAAATCACCACCGCCACTGCCGCCGCCGCCGCCACCAGGACGATTTCCACCATTACTACCTCCATCATCATAGAATTCTTGCTTTTCCATCTGCTGCTTTAATATATCCTCTACAGACTGTTCCTTCTTAAACCTTCCCATAGCTTTCTCCAGAGCTTCCCATGGAGAAGCCTGATAGCAATTTGAAGTCAATTAAAATGGAATATTTTTTTTGTAGAGAAATAAGTAATTAAAGACTTGGACCAAGATCCAAAAAAGAATTTTCAAAAGTTCATAACCATCAATATTCCATAGTATTACTTCACTGATCAGACATTCTCAAAAGCAAATGTGAAGTCAGGGAAGGCTGTTTAGATACAGCCACTACGATCACAAAGTAATAATACGTAAAAAGGCATGCTTTTGATAGATATCACCCAAATATAAGTTATAGGTTGTATTTACTTAGTCAAGAAAATCTATTAACTCAACTCCCTATCAGAAAACTCAAGATGGAGCATAGTGCATGTTCCAAAAACCCATAAGCACCAATTAACAATCTCTGGTGGGACATACCGCGCAGACAAAAATATGAGTCATGATGAAGCATTTGAATTAAGAAAAACCAAATGGATGTATGATCTTTTAGCAGCAAGACATATAGTTTGCCTTGTTGGGAATAGGATAAGGGGGCAAGGGGGTTTTGACATCTTTTCTTAAAGCAGGAAAAAGAAAGAACTAAAAGATGTGGACAGGTTTTAATTTAAGAGTTGGAGAATGAAAGGGGAAGAAAATAACCAGAAAAAGAAAACTATTAGAGAAAGAGAGACACTGAGAAGTGGTTATTACTTTCTTTTTCTTCTTCTTCTTCTTCTTCTTCTTCTTCTTGAGCATATAAACAAGGGAATTTCTAATAGTGGATTATGACAGCATTGGACCAGAAAGAATTCCCAATTGAAGCTGTTCAGACTGCTGGGAGTCACTGCATGCAAGCCAATCTGTGGCCCAAACTCTGGAACACTGGCTATAACACACATTGGATTCCACATGTAAGAGAAGAAGAGAAGAAATTGAAGAAAGAGTATTATAAAAATTTCATAGGTTGGTTGCTGAGAAGAAATGGACAGGAAGGGAAGGCAGAAGATATTGAATTCCTCTTTTCTTTATGCGTACTTTGTGCTATATTTTTTAACTTTTTTTCCAAATCACCTCATTTTGGGAAAAGAGAGTTTTTATGGGCCTGAAGGGACACAGTTACTCTCCAAATCACTGCTTCTCTTCTTTTATCTCCGGTCTTCATTGTGATCTAAAGGCTTGGTGTTTGTATCAAAGGTACTTTATAACATCTCATTCAATCATACAATTAATACAACAACAAAAACAATGAATTTCAAGAAGGCCCTTTACCTTATTGGGATTCTCTGACTTCCCTTTGTCACCAAATAAACAAACAGGTGCACGATACCAGTATGTTGATCCACTAGAGGCCAGCTTTAAGTAAGTCTCGGGGAATTGATTGATGTGGTTTGGAGTAACACATAGCATAGAAGGTACACTACTCGAATGATATATATTTTTGAAATTGACAGCCAGCTGGAATGCTGTGACTGCAGTGCAGCTCATGTTTCATCAAACAACTCAGTTACCTCATAAGCCACACATAAAGCTCGGAACACCCCTAGTTTTCCTTCTTCAGGTATCACTGCACATTAAATTACAATGATGAAACCAATTTAAGATCCAGATGCAAATCACAAATCACAAATCACAAAAGTAAACTCACATCCTTTACTATGATTAATTCTAAATAACCAGGAAGTTAAAAACTAAACCATGAATTAAACCGTGAGAGGGCATGCTGCTTCAATCAATTTCAACCTAAAGGGAATGGAAATTTATACATGGAGCAATATGGAAACCTGCACTTAGTTGGGAACTATACAATCTGAAGAACCCCCAAAACAAAACAAAGCATGAAACCACGAAACTTCCATATGTGGTTCATAGCATCGTTTGATAAAAACTGCATTCAAATTTTGATTTTTTTTTTCTCCCCAACTTCAAAGAAAAACCCGAGCAGATTGCCAAAATACATTAAATTTGAGTCTCATTGTAGCAAATTGGGATATACTTGGGCACCTATTGGTTAACAAGAGTAAAATAATGAAAATGCCAGTAGAAGGATCAAGACCTCATCACGGAAATAATGAAAATACCAGTATGTTGTGAGCCCACCCAACGGGTGTGCTTAAAATATAAATTTTAATTTTGAATTCAGAACATATTTTCTGTGTTGTTTAAGTGATGAAAGTGTTTTTTATTTTTCCCTTTTGGATGGAGAAATTGACACTTGACGCAAGAGGAGAAAGCAACTTAGCAAAAGGAGGGAAGGAAGTTCATGGACAACAAGTAACGTGTTCACTTTTAATAATAGTATAGATTACAACTGCTAGGTGTCTTTAGATTCCAAATCACCCCCCCTTTAACAAAAAGATAGGTCTTCCAGCTAGTAATTAGAGACCAGAGATTCCTAAAGACCAATTCTTAACAAAGCATACCTCATATGGAGTCTTAGGAAACCTAAGAAGTACGGACATGAACAGCAAGTACCATTGAACACCATTTATTTGTCATAGTGATCTGAAATGAACTATAAATTTTCATAGAAGGTCACAAAATATCACAAAATTATATGCAGAAGGAGGGACCGGAGGGAGCTTCTATTTCCACACATTGTTTCCTCTCAGTGCAGACATTTTGTTTTTTGGTTGTAAATCAACTTCCGAACAAAACTATTTGGTTTGAAAATCAACTTCCGAACAAAATTATTTGATTTGGCCGTATCTTTGGTTTGAAAGTTGATTTCCGAACAAAACTCGAGCCAAATAGTTTTGTTCGGAAATCAACTTTTGAACCAAAAATTCAGAAATTAAATGTGTGAACTGAGATAATGTGGTGTGTGGAAATAGAAGTTCCCGAAACAGTATCTGAAGCTTTATACCAAACTTGCACTTTGAATTTAGCTTGACAATATACCAGAAGAAATGCTGAAATGGCACTCAATTGGCAGACACAATTGAGTTATAATGCAATCTAAACTGGTCATTGAAGACTTGATGAAGGATTTGACCAACTAATCAGCCACAGCCCATTTGGATTGAGAGTTTTGGTGAGCAGAGAAAAGAAATAGAGAGAAAGAACTCCAATAACTTGTTGGATAATTTAGAAGCTGAAGTGGATAGAAATGGTGAGAAAAAGAAGAAGAAAACCTAAACTCATATATTGATTCACACAAAAATTGAAGAGATTTGGTGATAAAGAAAGTTGATTTATAAAAGGTTTTCAAAATCTCTGTTGCTAGAATCGTACGATTCGCGATTCGAATCGTACGATTCGGTTCAATACACATACAAATCGATATGAACTAGTAGAGAGAATCATAAATGGCAATGAATCGCACTTGTATCGTTGAATCGATCACCGAATCGTAAGAATCGCAGAATCGCACGATTATGGAAATCGCTGGTAAACCTACAACCAGTCGGACCCGAATGGATTTCTTTGATTTATGATGCATTTTTTTTGCTTTATTTTGCTGGAGAATGGATCGACTAGGTCTTTTAAGACCTTTCGAGTTATTAAATAATAATCCCATTGTCTTTTGGTTTGCCTATTAACTCTCAAACGACGAAACCCTAGAAAAAAAATGTTTTTCTCTTTCTCTAGTTACGAAGAAGTAGCTTTTGATGTTGAAGAAGTAGCTTTTGATGTTGGGTCCTTGCACTTTCAACTTTAATTAAATCTTGAAGCTTTAACAAACTTTTTTGAGGTGTCGTGCTTGGACTTTGAGCTGCTATTGTTCCACAAACTCCATATGATACTGTTTGCTGTACAATGGGTCATTCTATTTACACACCACTTTCCCTCTCAAGGCAAACCATTCATTAATTTATTTTTTATTACAATTTTAACCTTAAGTGAAATGACTATAAAGGACAAGTTATGATACACACCCCATTTGTGTATTTACCATAAAGGACAAGAATCAATATAATATAAATCATCAATTTCAAACTTGTTCCTTACGTATCTTCTCTGTCAAGAATCCAAAAACCCTAAAACCAAAATAAAAAACCCTTCAACAAATAATCAAAAATATAGTATTATTAAAGATTTTGATTGGATTCAATGAAGGATGCATCTAACAATTCTCATTCGGAACAATGGACCAATGAAAAGGTTATTTTTATTGTTGTTTTCGTCTTCGTTTTCGTTTATGAGTGGTAAATCGTTGTTCGGTTAACCAAAGGTGAATGATATATCATTGTTCGACAGACTACAATCGAACAACTTATATATGTTTAACAGACTACAATCGAACAACTTACATCTATTCAACAAACTACAATCGAACAGGTGCAATTTGTTCGGATTACTACGGTCGAACTTTTTCATTTAATTTAACTCTGTACTGCCGAACAATTATAATTTTTTTTTTTTTCCAGAACTGTGCATCCGTGGAATGCATGGTTTTAAAAAGCGGCCGCAACCGTTACGTAACGCCGTTACGTAACGGTTGTGGTAGTTACCGCCACCCGTTACGGCCGCTTTTGCAGTGTGATTGAGATTCACGGATGTATCGGCCATAGCGGCTGATATAGCGGTCGTAACGGTGTTGTAACGGCCTATTACGCACCGTTATGTAACGGTTCCGAATTGCTTCTTTCAAAAAAACACAAAAAAAAAAAAAAATTTTGAAAAATGGGGAAGAGAGATAGAGAGAAGAGGGAAGATGGAGGAATAAGAGAGAGAGAGAGAGAGAGAGAGAATAGGGAAGATGAAGAACATGTCATTGATTTGTTGAAATTGTAAGACCTATGCTATTCTATTCAGCTGCTATCATTCAACTATTTTGTTTGTATGTGTCTATCTACATATTGTTTGAAAATAATAATAATAATAATAATTGTGGTCATTATCTATTTGGCTTAATATATACATATATATATATTTAGACTTGTATTTATTCTCTTACTTTTGTCATTGTTTATCTTATATATAATAGTTAGTGATTGATTTTTTGTATAATATAAAGTCATTAATTATTAAAATAAAATGTAAAAAACTCAGTTTATAGTGATTTAAAAATATGAAATATATTGGATCATACTTAAAAAATACAAAAATTGATCAATATTTATTTTAAAACCCAATAAATATGATTATAAAAAAAAAATATGCGTATCAGTAAGTTTTTTGTAAATTGTGTGAAAAATAAAAAAATTCACGGTTCCGGTTACCGCAACCGTTACGTTACGGCCTTTACACCCCGCAACCGCAACCGCGCCACCGCCACCGTTACGGCGACCGCAGCCGCTTTTCAGAACCTTGGTGGAATGCAATAATGTTGGATCTGTGAGTCTTGTTGACTACACGAGTCAATTTATTATTAATGAGATAGTCTCATATCGAAAATTAGTATTTTTTTCTTTTTGTTTTCGAATGTTTAATGACTTTGTTGAATAGAGAATGGAGGAGGCGATGAATATCGTGGGTGTGGAGGCAAAATTGGAACTTTGTGTATATTGTTGTGGGTGAGTGTGTGAGTAAGGGTAAATATATAAATTTGTGGTGTGTGATGAGAAAAATATTTATTTTTGCAAATTATTTTTGGTGTGTCTTCAGAAGTGGTTTGCCTTGAGAGGGAAAGCAGTGTGTAAATAGAGCCTTCCCTGTACAAGAACTAAATTGAATAGTTTATAGATTGCCCACTTTGAGCCTTTTTATTACTTTAGTACCTCTGTTATTGCTGTCACTGTGCTATTGGTGTTGGAATTTGGAGTTTTGAGTTTTGAGTTTTTAATTGCTCTCTTTATTAAGATTAAAGAATGGTTAATAATTTATTTATTTATTTTATATATATATATTTTATATTTTTGTATTTATTAATTTTTTGTTTCTTAGAATCTATCACAAATATTTTACCTTTCAAGTACACACCTAAATTAGGTGCATCTAAAAATTAAAAAATAATAATTAAAATATGAAAAAAAAAATCATTAAAAATAACATAACACAAAACAAAAAACCAAACAGTATTTTCATTAAATATTTCATAGATAAATGTAATATTTAAGTATGTAGATATGTTTTTTATCTAATTTTTTAAAATGACCGAATCTTTTACGATTCACGATTCAATTCGATTCGATTCATGATTCAGTACAAGGACATTTTGATTCACGATTCGAATCCCAATTTGACAACTATGTTCAAAATACAAAAATTGGCCATCTAAATACAAAACATTAAAAATAAATTGACCCATGTGGCTTCTTTTATTCATTGATGAGATTTGGTGAAAGAAAATTTTTTGATAAACAAAATTTATTGAAGAAGAGCATGAAGAAGATGCTAAAGAATACAAAAAACCAAAACCCCCAAAAGGGCAAAACAAAGTAGCCAATCACATCATCAATGAAATCTAAAAAGGTAAACAAATCAGGATCTACACGTCCTGCCACCCAACCACATAAGACTCGCAAAAACCTATCTTCTAACCAGGAAACAAAGCAAGCAACTCTTTGAAAAACACGTCAATTCTGCTCCAACCACAACAACCACATTAGGCGCAAAGGGGCCAAAGCCCAAGCCTTACGATGCCACTTCCCAACTTGGCCCCCACCCAACTCCAAGGAAGCT